AGGTGGAAAAAGGCATGGGGACTCGGCTATAAGCCTGGTCAACTTTTCTAAGACCAAACTGATAGTTGTTTATTTCTGACTCAGAGAGAATTGGGGGCAGTTCTCTCCTACAATCTGAATCAAAGAAATACAAGAAAAGGGAAATTGAGAATAAAGGAAACTCACCTGACTCAGAGAGAATTGGGGGTCAGTTCTCTGCTGAGTCAGGAAGGGAGACTGATACGGAAAACTAGAGAGAAATGTGACATCTAGTTGTAATTCTTGTGAAACCCTGACCACAGAGGGAGGGGGTTTACACAACCTCACCCCCTCCTCTTGTTAAGCAGGGTAGCAACCAAAGTCCAACTTCAGACACTCAGACCCCCCAAAATGACCAGAAATGCACGCAGAAAACTCCTCAATGCCAACCCGAGCCTCAAAAAGGGCCCCTTGGCCAATGGAACCCCTGATTTGCTTGTTTGGCACAAGGCCGGCAACCATCAGGGTGAAAGTGGGTCATGTGTAGTCAGTGCCTCATCCACTCAAAGCAAGGGCCCCTTGGCACATGGAAGCCCTGATTTGCTTGTTCGGCGCAAGGCCGGCAACCATCAGGGTGAAAGTGGGTCATGTGTGGTCGGTGCGTCAAGTGAGGATGATGAGCTACTGTGGAATCTCAAGCCTAGACATCCGGATCATGGTATTTGAACATCAAAGCCCCGCAACCCTCCGCCTCAATATCCAACTGGTACTGCAAAGAAGATTTGTAGTAAAAGAATCTAAAATTCCACAAAATAAGGATCATTAAGCGTGTAAGAATTAATTAAGGAAAAGCGTTCAATGCAGTATTCAAGATATAGTTTTTATTTTTATGAAAAATCATTGTTACCATCATCTTTAACATGTCTCAAAGTGTGGTAAATGAATTTAAAATGTCAAAAAATAACAAAAATTAAGCTCTTAAAAATAAATTGAATTTTGAGACCAATTACAGTATTCAGAATGAACCGTTGAGTTTGATGGAAATTGAATCTTACCATTAAATTCTAAACACTTTGAAATGTAGGAAACAACTTTAAAATTTCAAAAAAGCATAAAAAATAAGGTAAAAAAATTAATGCAAACAATTGAGTGAAAAAGTGAAGAATTAAATAAAAAAACGGTGTCAAATGCAGTATACAAGTTGCTGTTCTCATTTTGGTGCAAAATGATTTTTACCATAAATTTATACATGTCTGAAAGTGTAGGAAAAAGATTTAAAATGTCAAAAAAGAATGTGAAAAAATGGGTGTAATTTGAGTATTAAAAGTGAACCGTTGAGTTTTAAAAAAACTGGATTGCACCATTAAATTCTAAGCACATTAAAACTTAGGAAATAAATTTGAAATTTCAAAAAAACATAAAAAATAAGGTACATACATGTATGCAAACAATTAATTGAGAAATGAGTGAAAAAAAATAATCAATAATCAAAATTCATTTTTTTGGAAAATGGTTTTTACCATTAAATTCTAAACCTTTTAAAGTGTAGGAAAAAACTTTAAAAATTCAAAAAAACTTGAAAAATAAGCGGTAAAAAATTAAATAAAAAACCGTGTGTAAACGCGGAAACCGCGTGCGCTGTGCCGCAGCAAAACCGTGTGTAAACGCGGAAAAACCATGTTTTTTTATTAATGCCCTAAAAAAACCCGCATTTTACGTGTTTTGACGTGGTTTCTGCTGCGCGCAGCACACGCGCATTCTGCGTTTAAACCCGCTTTTTTAATTAATTTTTTTTGCTGTTAATTTTGATTTTTTTAATTTTTTAAAATTGTTTCCTACACTAAAAAACGTTTAGAATTTAATGGTAAAGTCCATTTTGCATAAAAATGACTTTTGATTCTTAATTTTTTTTTTCCACTCATTTTTTCCGTTAATTGTTTGCTTTAAGTTTTTTACCTCATTTTTCAAGATTTTGTGTAACTTTAAAGTAGTTTCCTACATTATTAAGTGTGTAGAAATCTATGGTGAAATCCAATTTTCATAAAAATGAATGGATCATTTTTAATAATGCAATTACACCCATTTTTCCACTTAAATTTTTAGAGCTCAATTTTCATTCTTTTTTCACATTTTAAACTTTTTTCCTACACTTTCAGACATGTATAAATTTATGGTAAAAATTATTTTGCATCGAAGTGAGAACTACATCTTGTATACTGCATTTGACACGGTTTTTTTATTTAATTCTTCACTTCTTCACTCAATTGTTTGCATTAATTTTTTTACCTTATTTTTTATGCTTTTTTGGAATTTGAAAGTTGTTTCCTACATTTCAAAGTGTTTAGAATTTACAGGTAACATTCAATTTCCATAAAACTCAACGGTTCATTCTGAATACTGTAATCAGCCTTGAAATTCAATTGATTTTTAAGAGATTAATTTTCATGATTTTTTGACATTTTAAATTCATTTCCCACACTTTGAGACATGTTAAAGATGATGGTAAAAATAATTTTGCATCAAAATAAAATCTGTATCTTGAATAATGCCTTTGACGTGTTTCCTTAATTAATTCTTACACACTTAATTATCCTTATTTTTTGGAATTTCAAGTTCATTTCCTACACTTTGAAAGGTTTTAAAATTGTTGGCTGTATCCATTTTGCATTCACATAAAATTTGTATACGGGACAAATTATGCAAGAAACGGCGTAAACTCATGTATTAAGATTGAAGCTTGTATTTTTAGGGAAATTGGACTTCACCATTCAATTCCACACATTTTAAATGTAGCAAATAAATTTAAAATCTCAGAAAATGATTAAAAACCAGCTGGTAAAAAGCAATTAACAAAACATTAAAAAAAACATGTCCAACGCAGTATTCAATAACATTCTTTGGTTTTTATGCAAAATGATTTTTATCATCATTTTAATCATATCTAAAAGTGTGGGAAACAAATTTAAAAAGTCAAACAAGAATGAAAATTAACCTGTAGAAATTTAAGTGAAAAAAATGTCAAATTTCAGTATTAAAAATGAACCGTTGAGTTTTGAAAAATTTAGATTACACCATTAAATTCTACACACATTGAAACCTAGGAAATAATTTCAAAATCTCAAAAAAACATAAAAAATAAAGTACATACATGCATGCAAACAATTAATTGAAAAATGAGTGGAAAAAAAAATTAAGAATCAAAAGTAATTTTTATGCAAAATGGACTTTACCATTAAATTCTACACGTTTTTTAGTGTAGGAAACAATTTTAAAAAATTAAAAAAAATCAAAATTAACAGCAAAAAAAGATTGATTAAAAAAGCGGGTTTAAACGCGGAATGCGCGTGTGCTGCGCGCAGCAGAAACCACGTCAAAACACGGAAAATGCGGGTTATTTTATTAAGTCCCTTGAAAAATACAACTCATTACAGTATTCAGTATGAACCATTTAGTTTTTTGAAAAGGGCATTAATAAAAAAACGCGGTTTTTCCGCGTTTTGACGCGGTTTTGATGCGCCGCAGCACACGCGGTTTCCGCGTTTAGACGCTGTTTTATTAATTATACATATTTTATGCATAAATTTGCCTCCAGGGGGCGCGCGCGGGTACCACAAGTGCCTGCATGACATTTGAAAATTTTCCTGCGGACAAAACCACTCACCACAATCAAAAAAGGACATCACCCCCCCTCTAAACCTTCAACACACCACAACTTGGTCAAAACTCAACCAAAATCAACAAAAAAAAATACCAGAATCATTCAATTTTTCTCCTCTTCGACGCCACGGACTCGGATTTTTTCGATTCACCACCGGTTCACTCCCAACTTGCAGGTACACTTGTTTATTACCACACTCTTCTGTAAATTCAAATTTGGCCTATTTAGAATATTATAACATTTTTTTCCCTTTTTTTCATTGAGAAATTCAAGTTTGGAAGGTTGAATAACCACCAGGAACTTTCCACAGTGCCTACATCAATAAAATGAGTGGGAGCAAGAATTAAAATGCAAACGAAACATTTTTATGAAAAATAAAGTTTACCATTAAATTCTACACCTTTTAAAGTGTAGGAAACAAATTTACAATGTCAAAAAATAATGAAAAACAAGCCGCTAGCTAAGAATTAATTGAAAAAATGAGTGGGAACGGAAATTACAATGCATAAAAATAATTTTTATGCAAAATGAATATTACCAATGAATTCTTCACCTTTTACAGTGTAGGAAAAAAATTTACAATGTCAAAAAATAGTGAAAAACAAGCCAGTAACAGTTAATTGTAAAAATGAGTGAGCAGGAAAAAAAAACAAAGTCATTTTTATGAAAAATGGACTTGACAATTAAATTCTACACCTTTCATAGTGTAGGAATAAATTTTAAAATTTTGAAAAAACTTGAAAAATAAGCCATAAAAAATTAATTAAAAAACCGCGTCTAAATGCGGAAACCGCGTGTGCTGCGCGCAGCCTAAACCGCATCAAAACATGGAAAAACCGCGTTTTTTTATTAAGGCCCTTTTGAAAATTG